CCCGCTTTTTGCTCTTGCCCTTGGGTTGGGACTTTACGGCAGTTGGTGCTGCTGGGGCAGTGTTATTTTCGAGGTTCTCGCGGAAAAGTCGGTGGACGTATTCCTGGTCTGTTGCGACGTAATGCCGTATCGACGGGCCGAGGGCGAGCGCTATCAGGCCTGAGATGCCGCAGCCGAGCTCAACGACTGTCGAGGAGGGGCTCAGGAGAGAGTGTTTCCAGAGAGGGTTTGATTGAGCGTCTGAGATCCATTCTGCGAACGCGGGGGTGATTTTCCATAGGACTGGGATGGGTTAGCTGAATGGTTTGGGAGAGTGGGACCGATGAAGAGGAGGTCCACCTGCGCCTGTTGTTCCTCCTGCTCGAGATGAAGAGAGCAGGGTGGGAGATTGGCTGATCGAGTAGTCTTGACCGTGGATGGTCACGTCGACGGTTGTCGCGCGGGAGTCGACGAAGCCTAGGTTCGCGGAGGGGATGTCTCGTGAGAATAGGAGGAAGGATTCTGGAGAGGATTAATCCTTGGCTTATTTAAGTCTTGTTTTCTCTACTATGGCTCAGCTACAACAGGTACATACCCTCTTCGGCATCTTCCACCTCCTCGCCAATAGACGAGAGAAAATTATTCAGAACCTCTGTCTGATCCATACTACCTTGCTGAGTTTTATTTCTGTGCGAGCAATCAATTCGCAACCTAGGCATAAAGTCTAGGCATAAAGCTCCTGCGGATAAGCTCCGAGGATTGAGCCCCGAACTGTTCTCTAGCGAGGTACCTACGCATAATTAGCTGCTGTTGTGTCAAGGATAAACGGCGTAGCGCCATATACCCTGTAATCAGAATTTTTTTGGTCCCGGAGCTTGTGACTTCTGAAGGTGCACACTCCGAGGATAATGATCAGGAAAGAACAAAGATTGATACAGTTTTCAAAGCTTTGAAGCTATTCCAGAAAGAAGAACAACTGATTGGTCCAATCTCCAAAATTTCTGATCTGGGGTAAAAGAGCTCCAGGTCACGGGACCTGGGCTGTGCCAGGGCGTGACCAGTTGTCATCTGCTCAGTTACTGCGAACCTTAGTCCAGGAACGAATGAAAAGTGTAAAAGACTGTCTACCAAGCCTCCAAGTTGCCTAGATTGCCTAATGCCTAGATTTATGGCTTAGAGGGCGAACATGTTTGAGTCCGTCATTGTGTTGGGCAAAAGTCCCAACAAAAGGAGTCTAAGGCCAAGGATCGTCGGAACTGAGCTTTCCCCGTAAGAGAGGTCACTTCCACATAGTGACTGCGATGGACGGAGGCATCTGAGCAGACGTGAGACAACGAAGAAACTAGAGCACCTGATGCTTGTCGTGAAGTAAATTAATTATCCACTGGTTAATCTCAATCCATGATCAGAAGCGATCTGTTCGGCTGTCATGAAGCTCGAACCGCGGCATAGCTCCCAGCGAACAGTTACAGTGCATGTAACTTTGGATATTCCCGACCTGCGCTTGCTCAGTCAATGTCGTGGACTCGTGGTGCAAAATATTCAGAGTTAAAAGGAGCTGAGGATCGATAGAATCAATACTCCGTAGAGCAAAAGCAACGTCGATCAAACTGCTTTGTTGTTGTTTTTTGCTTGTTGCTGTCCCTGTAGCGTCATAGTAGCGAGGACCGCAGCTTGGGCCGCCCCGTCAAGAAAGCCCAGCCACAAACACTCTTTAGGTTCTGACTTCATCCGCAGCAACTCGCTCACCTGCGCGGCTTCAAACTCCCCTCCCCTCTCTTTCTTCCTAGGCCCAGACTTTCCCCTCTTGGTCTTCCTGAGTGTCTGCGCTTTGTCCCTATATATTTCTGATCCCCTCTCCACTCCTCCTCGATCCTTCTCCGGCATTCCCGCCTCTCTCTTGCGTTCAACGTGAATCTCCAATCCTGTACGTCCTGGAAAGCTTTTGACCACCCCTAATTCACTACCTACATTTCTATTTCTGTAGAATTGTTCTTCGAAAATATCCCGTGAGATTGCGGTGATTGCAATAGCTGCTGACGGATTCGGTCGATCGAACAGGAGCTATTAGTACCTTTTCTTCGTCATACAGCTCCCCGGATCTTCGTGATCACAGATCGAGATGTCGAAGCGAGACATCCAACTCCAACCACGGATTTCCAAGAAGCCTCCATTCACAGTGGAGGCTCCTGGCTACGAGCCCGTACCGGGAGAGACCATCCCTCGTAGATTGCCGCAGGCCAAAGACAACCTCATCTTGCGGCCCGCGGAGGACGTCGCAACTACCTATGACGTTTTCAGACGGTCCGCGCGTATGTTCGGCAACGCAAAGGCGGTCGGTACTCGTCGCCTTATCAAAACTCATGTGGAGAACAAGAAGGTCAAGAAGATTGTCGACGGTGTGGAGCAGGAGGTCGAAAAGAAGTGGACATATTTTGAGATGAGCGGTTATACCTACAAGAGCTTCGTTGAATATGAACGCCTTGCGCTGGAATTGGGTTGTGGGTTGCGCAAGCTGGGATTGGAGAAGGATAACAAGATTCACCTCTACGGTGCAACAAGGTGAGCTTTACCCGCAGTCTTTATACAGAGGAATGATTGTTGACATATACCTCTTTCAAGTGCACATTGGCTGGCCATGTCACACGGTTCGTTCACTGTTTTCTACAGCCCCTGCAATAAGCCATTGACTAATATACTTGAATTCAAACAGGAGCTGCATCTCAATCATTGACCATCGTTACTGCATACGACACGCTTGGGGAGGAGGGACTGAAGCATTCTCTGGTCCAGACGTCGAGTCTTGCTATCTTCCTTGACCCTGGTCTTATCCGTTCTCTTGCCAATGTTCTCAGCGATGTTAAGTCTATCAAGCATGTCATCTACAACACCGACCAGGAGGTTAAGCAGGAGGATCTGGACAAGCTCAAGGCCGATTTCGACTACTTGAACATCATGAGCATTGAGGACTTGCGCAAGCTGGGAGAGGAGAACCCTGTCGACCCAGTTCCCCCGTCTCCCGAGGATCTCTGCTGCATTATGTACACCTCCGGTTCCACGGGTCCACCAAAGGGTGTGCCTCTGACGCACAAGAATGTCATCGCTGCGAGTAAGTTAGCTGATTTGAAAATATATTGCGGATTGGTGAAGTTAACGCGTCTCTTCTACAGCTGCTGGTATCAATGCGATTGTTGGCCCTTACATCGGACCCTCCGATGCTCTGCTTACCTACCTGCCTCAAGCGCACATCCTAGAGTTCATGTTTGAGAATCTCTGCTTGTTCTGGGGTGGCACAATGGGCTACGGAAACCCCCGAACTCTGTCGGATGCCTCGATGCGCAACAGCAAGGGTGATATCCGCGAATTCAAGCCGACGATTCTCGTGGGTGTCCCGGCTGTTTGGGAGTCTGTTAAGAAAGGTGTGCTCAACAACTTGAACAAGGCCAGCTTCCTTGTAAGGGGCCTGTTCTGGGGCGCAATGTCCGCAAAGACCTTCCTAATGACAAATGGGTTCCCGGGAGCCAGCATGGGTGCCTCCATTCTGGATGCTGTCGTGTTCCGTAAGTTGAAGGAAGCTACCGGTGGTAGACTGCGTATTGTGATGAACGGTGGTGGCCCGGTCTCTAAGGAGACTCAGAAGTTCCTATCTATGGCCATCGCCCCCATGATCAGCGGCTATGGTTTGACCGAGACCTCCGCTATGGGCGCTCTCAACGACCCTATGGCCTGGAACCCGGATGCCCTGGGTGAAATTCCCGGATGCATCGAAGTCAAGCTCGTCGATTTCCCGGATGCCGGCTACTTCACCAAGAACGATCCGCCTCAGGGAGAAATCCTCATCCGCGGTGGTAGTGTGACCTCGTACTATTGGGACAATGAGGAAGAGACCAAGGCCGCTTTCACCGAGGACGGCTGGTTCAGGACCGGTGATATTGGCGAGTTCGACAAGAACGGGCATCTGAAGATCATTGACCGCAAGAAGAACCTGGTCAAGACGCTGAACGGGGAATACATCGCTTTGGAGAAGCTCGAGTCTGTATATCGCTCCTCGCCCGTGGTTGGCAACATCTGTGTTTATGCCGCCGAGGACCAGGACAAGCCCGTTGCCATCATTGTGCCCGTTGAGGTCGCCTTGAAGAAGATCGCTAGTGAGAATGGCATTGAGGGTGACAGCCTCGAGTCGCTGGTTCACAATGAAAACTTGAAGTCCATTGTCCTCAAGCAGCTCCAGAGCGCTGGCAAGGCTGGCGGTCTCAGGGGTATTGAGATCATCAATGGTGTTGTGTTGTCTGATGAGGAATGGACACCTCAGAATGTAAGTCTTACCACCCTCTTCTTCAAACTACGAGCTGACCATATACCCAGGGTTACATGACTGCGGCCCAGAAGCTGCAGCGCAAGAAGATCATCAACAAGTTCCGGGCCGACATCGACCGTGCCTATGGCAAATCGTAAGAGGTGGATGACTGATGAATTTTTTCGCTTTGTTTCCCTCCTAATTATTGTAGAAAATTATTTTTACTAGTCTGTCCCTAGCACACTGTTTTGTGTTCATGTCATTTTCTCTACTTGTTCTTAGCTGCAGCTTTCGTGCTCCGGGAGCCTGTGTCTGTTACCGATTCCCTGCTAGTTGACAGCAATGCGTTTGAGCGATATGCTATCTTGTCCCCTTACCAGTATACAGATGGAGCGCTACTGCTTCTGTTGGCAGGTCGAAAGCTAGTCCTAGGGTTGATACTACTAGCTGCGCATCTAAGTAATCGATACAGGCTCTCTGGCTTCCGGTTGAATTTACGCCTGCATGCTCTGAGCGACCAAGACTCTGTTAATAGTAATAGAGCTCGATCTTCCCTTCCGCTGTACTGATGAATATAGTATGCCTGACTGCCTCAGGCAGTAAGATTTTCACGCTATACCCAGAATAGTAAGCCCAAAGCTGCGTACCGTAATGCTCCTCGGCCAACTTAACTCATTCAAGACTCCAAGAAAACAGCCAAAAGCCAAGGCGCAGCGCATCTACAATGAGTCTCTGGAGGTACGTAGTACGCAGCAGACATTAGCTCCCCGCTACAGATACGCGACTAACACTTGGCTGGTACAGCTCCTACCGCTCCCTCACCCCCAAGACGCGGGCCCTCTTTGGCGTCGGCCTCATGGCCTGGGCATCTCTCGGGTTGTGGTTCTCACCGCAGGTCGAAAACGCGATGGGGATGGTTCCCAGCGCCGAAGAGAAGGAGGAGTTGGAGAGGAAGTTGGCGCTTCGGGTGTCGCGGGTTGAGAAGGGGAATTAGCCTGGTCAAATCTCGACATTGGAAGATATTGACTTCAGGGCCATGGATAGTTCGAACAATGCTTGCGGACTCACTCCGTCGGATAGCCCTACATGACTTGTCTACGTGGATCACGATGATATACCGAGCGCGCAAATGAGAGAGGAATATAGCCTGGCTGTTGGTTTTCCGGGGGCTAAGCGAAAGAGGTATCGTTATCGGCAACAGACACCAGGATACGAAGAACAGAATGCAGGCCGTCTACGTATTCGTGCACGCTGCCCGCCATCATTGGTGCTCATGTTCACTGGTATCACATGCCATCAAGCGTCAGGAGCTCTTTGGCTAAGCGGCACAGCATTCGGAAGCCGTTTCGTGCAACGACGGGGTACTGGTGCGGAGGTTTGAAATGGGGCCGGACGAGACGAAGGTGGTTGGAAATCAAACTGAGAGGAAGGGGCTGTCGTGAGTCCTATCCATTGTTTCATGGCCGTTGATGAAGGGACAAGGGATACGTGGAGGAACTGCTACACTGGTTAGCTAGCGAAGCATCAAAGTATGGACAAAGCGACGAAGAATTGCAAGTTGGCTAGACGGTCATTGCCCACTTCTTGCCACCCACTCTGGAAGATGCCACGATGCATCGAATCGGTCATCAGCCAAATCCACACATGCACGAGAGAATAACCGTGATGTCATTCTCAATGTCAATGAAAACCGATTCTCGTCTAGAAGCAAGATACGCCCGTATGAAAAGGCCCAAGAATGAAGCGGACCGGTGGCACACGCGCAGATTGGACGCTGGATGCAACCGTTGCACTAGGATCCTGGTTGCCCATCTGCTGATCGTAGTACAAGTATTGAGTGCTTTGCCCTGCTTGCCCCAGCCTGCCCAGCCTGCAGGAGCAACAATGGAAGAATAGGCATAGTGTGGGAGCTGGGAAGGCTGGAGGCGCTTGCTTGACTGCCGTGGAGAAATAGAAGCCTGAGTCACTCCTGCACGACCACCACCACGCCCCCCTTGTACCACATGCATATTGTGGCTTCGCGACTGAATCTTCCAGAGTCTGTATCTAGCCTCGAATTGGAGGTGGCTCTTGCATCAGTGAGGGATAAGTTGACCATATTTAGGCTCGGGCCATGAGTGATAGGCTTCAGAGCTAAAAGGTAGACATCAGGAGAGGAGATTCTTGTATGTACTAGTTCCATACAATACAATACACGCGTTTCCTGACAGACAAAAATAGAAATAGATGCGACTGCAAGGACTGGATTGTACGGATCATGCTGATGTCAATCCGTGATGATTGAAGACCCTGAATCCACTGAAAGCATAACTTCAGAAGTGCATAATTTGACACCGAGATGACAGGGTCATATCCTTTGTTGCACTAAGCTAAATTACGGCTGTCTCGTCGATCATGATCGCCCTAGAGTGCACTAAAGACAGCCGACATACAGTAGTGGTCTCGTTAGTCTCATTAGCGCCTATTTCATTCTTTGAGGCTTCTTGCTCCATATTCTCAGTTATTGCTGCATGATGTTCTATCTCCGTACTGTTTTGGAATCCTGCAGCTTCCCTCTCATCTATGTTTCGGCGATCATCCCGACGGACCCTTGTCTAGAGTTAAAACCGTACGCCATACTCCAGTAATGATAAAGGGAAGGCGAAGTTTGCCAACGAAGCACCGGAACCCAAAAGGGGGCTGGGTACTCGAGAGGCTTGAGCGAGGCGCCTCGCCCAAAGAGGTTGCTGCTACTTACTTCCAGACTGCAGTTTTTTTTTTCTTATGTCCTGTATGGACTACGGAGTACTTAGTTAGATACCTAAAGGCAGACAAGACACACCGCTGCGGCCCTGCATGTCGATCGTAGCATGCATCTATTGGCCGCCTTCTTCTAGATATGATTTCCTCCTCTTCTACCACTAGAAAGAAGCGGTGACTGTCGAAGCAGCCATGATAGACTGCAGTTCAGTCGCATGTATCTCATTCTTCCATCTCGACACCCACGCAGGGTTCTGACTCGTAGGAACTAGGTCGCACAGATAACAGCAGAAAGTGACAGCGGAACGGCCCCTAAGCAACCACAACAGGAGCAAACGGACGTATCGGAGAAAATACAAGGTTTTTGACAGGGTGGGAAACTTATGATGGATTGCACAAGGTTTGGAGCCAATTGATCCTTTTCCCTTGCCAATGTCACTGTGCTTTTGGGGGTGCTCCTGCTCCGTATTGGGTCCCTGATGCCGATCCTGTTGATCCTTGGATCATGTCTCTTCTTCTCTTTACGTCGAAAGCACACTAGGCAAATTATGTGCTAGGAAGCAAGGTGGCGCCTCAATTTTCCCAAACGGGTGATTGGTTGCATGATGGATTCCTTTCTGTACTGTGGCTGCTTGTGCACTGCAGAGCCCGGATGTACTCGGTGAACCCTGAGCCATTCCCAACGTCAAACTAACACCGGTGATAATGTGGATTCTGCGAGTAGACATGGTTTGGTATACATTATCATTCCGACTATCTTTTTTTGCCCAGAAAATTCAAGCCTCCTTTCCTTTTATCGTTCCGGAGGAGACGGAACTGTAAGCTAGAAGAAACACAAAGTGAGAAAGTAAACCAAGAAAGTGTAGCCTTTTGGGAGAATCGGATACGTGGCAAATAACGAATCAGACGCTGACTTGTCATGCAATTTCTCGCTCCAGTGAGAGATGTGTTGTCGATCGACCCAATCTGTCGGTCTACTGTTCGTGCAGATGTGAGCCATCCAAACTATGCGGACATTGTCTAGGTTGAACCTAGATGGTAGAAATTGCCAAAAGTAAATGTAAATCTGGAAACAAAGACGCTTACAATTTTAAGGTGCAAATAAAAAAAGCCGCAAAAATTGAGATGGAGAAGGGGGAAAAGTAGGGCAGGCGAGTCGCGCTCCCACTGCTAAGCACGCAGACTCTGCGAGCTCGAAAATCGACAATAAGGACTGTCATTGTTTGAACGAGAGGGGACGAGGGGGTCATAGCCCCTGGATGTAGGGATATGTTGAAGCTGCGGCGTCTGCCGAGTGGGATGTTTCAGGAAATGCGAGGGTTCACTGGCTTCGCTCGAGAATATTGAAGTCATCGAGTCAAATGACTCGGGATAGCTGTTGCCGGACTCCTCACTTCCCCTAGACAGCGTATCATACTCAAACGGCGGTAAATGCATGCGGAAATGGTTGTTGGGTTTACGGTCAAGCAGACCGAAACCACCGTCGGCGTACCCGTCCATGCTTGACGGGCTTTTGATGGCGCCTAGCGGATCCATGGGATCATTTAGAACCCCTATATCGAATGTAGATGACGAGGATGACGAGATGTGCGGACTATCACTCAGTGGGGATGGCTCCGCCATGTGTTGATACTCCGCTCGACCGTAATGAGACCCTCCGCGTGAAGACGGATCGAACGACATCATCAGATGCGATCGCGCCCCTGGTAACAGACCTGCAGGCACACTGCTATCGCCATAGCCGCCATTACCCCCGTCCGGACCCATGCTAGTCGAACTATCCCGTCGACCGTCCTTGTAATGACCTGGAGAACGACCCCGGACCACCATGGGATGTGAAAGTTTTCTAGCGATCTTCATCCACTGCGTCTCACTCCCGTTGTTAGGATTCGTAATCTCCGCATAGAGCTCGACAACCAAGTTGTAGTACTGCTGCTGCGCCCGGCGCTTGCCGTTGTTCGCTGTCGCCTTCTGGAACTGAATACGCTCGAATGTGTGCTGCGTGGGCGGCTGTGACTGCTGCGGAGCCCCGGTGTATGAAGAACTGTAATCCATCGACAATGCGGCCGATTGAGAGTTTAGCGCAAACGCATGCTGCCCTCCACCGCTAGTCGTTGCACCGTGATTGAGAAGCAATGGCGGCGGCGGCTGGCAAGGTTGCAGGACGACTTTCCCTGGCTTCCTTTCGGATTGTTTGTCACGTTTCGGAGTGTGTTGAACCAACTCTCGAATCTCACCGTACTGTGCATTTACAACTGCCGATATGCACATGGAAAACTTTAGGATACGCTCCGTCGTCTGATCAGAAACCTTCACGTAAAGAGGAGCACGCGTCCATGGATGTAAGGAAAACGAGCAGGAGACCGAGAAATAGTTTCGCCGATAACAGGTCCACTTGTCGTCCACTTGAAAGAAGCCTTTATGTATCTTGGCGTGAATCTCTGGTTTGATGGCTTGACTGCCTGCGACTATCGGCAAAAGTATATTAGTCTCGTGGAAAGGAGGTGCGTCCGCTACCGGCTGGGGCAAGCGCTGTTGGGAGTCCATGTAAATATTCCCAGTCTGTCCGAAGAACAGATTGTGGGGGGTATCAAACGAATGATCGAGGCCCCGTGGAGTACTTGTATACGAAGAAATCCTCGGCATTTCGCTCAGACTCGATAGGGAGGGGCATGTACTTCCCCGCTGAAGGGCGTACTGTGTTGGATAGTTCTCATGGCGACCTAGGATCGAGGAAGAACTGGAAAGGCCCTGTCCTTGTGACTGAAGAGCGGACGACAACCCGGGTGGCGGCTGACTAGGAAGACTGGTCAGTATCATCGACATCGCTTCGACGGATCTGGTATAAACAAGCAAGCGGCTAGACCTACAGTGCGGGCACACGATGTGGCCGAAAGTCCGGCATTCTCTCGTATGGCGAGCTGGTTGAGTGTGAATAGATAGAGCCTGATGCAGGAGAAAATGGACCTGAAAAGAGGCATACAGCATTAGCGAGAGCCGTTATAGCAGATTGTGGCCCAATAAAAAGAACGGATCAAGTTTTCTTGTTTCGAAGCAAAGAGAAACATACCGGAGCCTGGATCAGAATGGTTCATAAGAGGGGATGCCCCAAAGCTGAAAGGAGCAAGCCTGGTCAGCAAAATGACCGAGTCCTAATTTGGTACCAAAAGCTGCGTCTTCAACCGGGGGGCAAAAAGGCAAACGAAGTGAACAAAATAAGGTAACGCCTCATCCTGGAAGGCACTGCGTATATAA